AAATCTAAATAGGCACACAGCTCAGCACAGAACTGAGTACCTGCTCCCGGACAGTCTACCCGGATCGCGAAGTTAGACAGATGGTCATTCATTCAGTAACGTCGCATATGAAAGGGACAAATTAATGTGGAATCTGTATAAAAGAAAAACTCTACCAAAAAACCTCTTTCGGCTATAATGTGCTTGATGTTTTGAATCTTATTCGCAGTTGAACATCCCATTTTATTACATCTAATTTATCATATTCATACCTATGTAATCTAACAAACTTTAATGTTCTACGAAAACCCTTTTTTATGTTTATGTGCTCCTACGTGACGCTTCCTCCATTCCGTTGGAAAGCTATAAACTCTATTACTTTTTCGATGGTTGAGAGACTTACAGAACAGCTTGCATTGTGTCAACTGCCAAATATTTTCTTATAAAATGCACAGACGTGTCTCACCATGCTACAAAATACAACACTGTCTCTATGTAGACTTACATTTGTAATAGTGAAGTAAACAATGCGGACAAAATAGACTATGCAGAAAATAGCATATTATAGCAATTTACAGTTTAGGTAACGCTTTTCAAAGCGAATTTGGGATAATGGCAGATGGCACGCGCCATTACATTACATACCTAGCTTGAAGAGTGGAGCAGGCTCTGAAAGTGCTTGCACTTCTCGTGTATGTATAGATTTTTTCACTACACAGATTATATTTCACAAAGTATTCAATTTTACATCACAATCATGACGATTCCGACATAGCTTACAAATACCTGATGTCAAACGGACACTGACGAACTCAAAACAGTGAATGCAACTAAGCGACAATTTTGTTTGGACTAGTCCATCCAAGGGGAGTAAAGTACAAGTGTTTTTTTTTGATAAAACATTAAAAGCCTTTTTAAACATCATATCGGTTATTGAGGTATTCAAGAAGGAGAACTTCATCAGCATATATACTCAATGGTTCTAAAGTATTTCGAAATTTATAAATCAGTTGCTAAACTCACGGGATACAATTTCATATAACAATCTTATTTATCTAGGTGATGTTTTGTTTTCATTAATTACCTGGGCAGAAAAATACTACTTCTCAATAAGGCGTTGCGATCAATAATGGTGATTTCTGGGGTTAGTAGTGAAAGAAATTACTTATTTATTTACCACCAGGCAGTGTTCGATATAAGCTTTGGGGGAATTAAGTGTAAAGAACTCCAGCGCCCGCGTCCTGTAGATTGAAAGTATGCTCATTTCGGACAAGAACTGCCAGTATTTATTTGTTGTTAGGTAACGTTTGCAACTACTGGTACCCTGTTTTATAGTATATCATATATCACTATCTACCATCCATTTCTTTATTCGTAACTCTCTCCACCATACCAATAGAATAACGAGATGCAAAAATCGCATTATCATTCACTATAATTAGAGAAGTTGAGCCGCATCGCTACTCTTATGCCCAGCTCTGTCCTCATAGTGTCAACATACCACATTGACTAAGTAAGCATTCTAAGGTTGTCACTCAAACTTATTCAAAAGAAGGTGGATGTGCATGCTTTCGTCTTATTAAATCAAGCCTACACATTCATCATTTTTTGAGCTACCTCTCCATATATCACTGCCACAGACTTTATATAGCGCTTATCTGGAGTGCGACCAACGCGGCTGACACAAAATTACTTATTTATATACTGCCAGGTGGTAAAGTGTACTTCATATATAGACTTTCGAGATTTTAGCTAGCACTTGTTAGGCCGTCAGCTTCCTTACGTCATAGGGCGATAGAATTATATCACGCCTTTTTTTTATAAATAAGAGGAAATGGTGGGGTGATTCCTCTTTCCTTGTTGTAAATTAATTAATGAATTAATAAATTACTATAAATGAAATCTAAGGATCAGTCAAAGCAAAACAGCTGTCAAGTGTCGTGCAAATTTAGGCCCTAGCTCAATAAAGCGGAGAGTAGGGGGGTTTTAAGAGCACCAGTGACTCAAGACGGATTAAGTCACAAATCCCCGAGTTGTTAGTCGGAACGTGTTTTGCCTGACCATCGCACAAAGAAAAGAATTTAATAGTAATGATGAAACCTAATTAACTGTATACAGAAAACAAGATATCTGGAATGCAAGTTAAAAGAAAAAATGTTATTAAAAACCTCCTGACAATAAAATTAATAGACCATAATAACTAACCCAGCAAAACGTTTACCATGATACACGTACGGAGCCTTTACAAAGATGTTCTCAGCTCTCAAAAACTCAGGTCAAAAATCAGTGGCCAGTATTGAGCGGTGACGTAAGGAACGTCACAAGGTAGGGGATGCTTGCCTCATTCTCAGAATTTATGGTATAAAAGAAACCCTAGAGAGAGAAAAAGATTGTTTAAAAATCTACTGTCTACTCTATGTCTGAGACAGAACTACACATTTAAAAGACTCAAACTTGAAGAAAAATCCTTGTACATTCTCTTTTCCAAGAAAACTACTTTTCTTTCTGCAAGAGCGAGAAAAGATAAAAATTTACCAAAGTGGTATACCCTTAGAGAGTTACCCCTTCTTCTAAAATAAGTTATGGCAGCTCAAACTTCAAAATAATGATCAAAATAATGTAAACAGCCCAAAAGACAGTGACATGTAGGCACTTCCCTATATTTGAATACGTAAAATGCCAAACAAAACCAAGAACACTCTAAGAATTTCAGTCAGCAACAATCAATATATCAGTATTTATAAAATACCCAATTAAAATTATATGTTACCTGTTCATCAGGGTTTTTATAAAGGGGAAGAGATGGCTTCCAACAAAACCGGCTACAAAACAGCTACAGGGCAGCTACAAAACAAAGCTGGAGGAGTGTGAATGGTGGTTCTCCACAATGGCTTTTCCACTAAAAGGAGTCAGATACTGAACAAACTTCTTCAGAACAAGCATTAAGGGACGTAGATCGATGGTATACAAAAGAGAACTTACCGCTGGAAGTTAAAATGCCATTAAAAAATGGACGGGGTAGAACTAAACGTAAGGTACAAAATAAAAGAGTACTACTCCATAAACTAGTGCTTGAGGCGTTAATATCCCAAAATCTGGAAGTTAACGAAAAAACGCCCGCACGCAACCTAAATCACAGCGGAAAAGCAAAAGTAAAAAGGCGCTGGACGCGTCGGTACGCAATTAAAGAAGGTATCTTGATAGTAAATCACATTTCAAAAGAAGGTAACTTGATAGTAAATCAAATTTTAAGAGAAGGTATCTTGATAGGAAAGTAAACATCAAAAGATGGTTAAATGAATGGCCTTGAAGAAGGTATGCTGATAGAACGAAATGTCCCTATACTGCTAATACGTGTAAAGTCACAAGGTGGCGCGCTGGTTGCCACTGGGCATATTGTAGACAGAAACAAATCTGTCTACTAGGGACCAACAATATTTTATGAGGAAATTTCTTAGATAGAAGAAAGATTTCAATACAATATTGAGTCGCTGAGAATGAGAGATATAATACGTGAGAAATTCTACAATCAATAAACTATGAAATTTACCAAAATAAAATCATTAAAAAGGGTTTGGTCTAAGAATGGGCACTGTATAATCAATAAAGAGAAATTTAAATTACTCGTAAGTGGTCAAAACAGTAAAAATAAAAGTTACGTGATTTTGGACGTGACAATTACTTGAGCACCCGCTATCTGTAGATTAAAAGAATGGTCATCTCGGAACATAACTTTCCGTATTTGTTTGCTGCCAAATGACACCCTGTCTCATAGTACTACCACTTTATTTTTTTATGATCACTTGAAGCTTTTTCTGTGTCTCAGATTCCTACACTTTATAAATAACGCTACAGGTAACTCGCTTGACCATATAACAAAGAATAATACGAGCAATTGAGTATATGCCTCACAACAACTGGAGAAGTGTTTAGCTACATCGATACTCTTATCCGCAATCCCGTCTGCGTAGTCTACCTTGTCTATTATATTAAATGACATAGAAAATGCAACACCGACTAGGATTGTTGTAATTTTGAGCAAACTTGTATAAGTTTTAGGGTTACTAATTGAAATTTTAACTCGAAATTTCGCAAAATAGCTTGCCACGCCTATTTTTGGTTAATTAATAAAACACAATGATAAATACTATCTAACGGTTGGTCCAAGCGTGGCGTGCAAATTTGGACGCTAGCTCAACAAAGCGGAGAGTATGGGGGGGGGGGTAAGAGCGCCAACCTGACAAAGTCGATCAACTTGTTTGGAGAAATATCCTTCAGGTCTTCTGCTTGGAGTACTACGTCTCCAAGTATGTTGTACCTGATTCTAGCAATTGCAGGGCATCTGCACAATACATGCCTGACCGTTTCATCTTCCTTCATGCACAGTCTGCTCTCAGCGTCTTCCGCCTGCTCATATGGTGACGCAATTTGCAATGACCAGAGTACAGCCCTACTAGAGTTTTTAATCTTTCTATCCATCTCTGCAAAGATTATTTGTTTAGCCGTATTGTATGCGATCCCAATCGCGTGGAGTCAAGTGCTTTAAGTGAGGCTTGACTATCTGGTTCAACATTTGATCAGCGTATACTTCCATGATAGGAAATATGTTTACAAGTTTTTATCAAAGTTGGATAAACAGTTCTGAGTGTTACAATTTATATGTCACTTAGTAATTGGAATGCAGCCCATTAAAGCACACACGTAAACACCTTGACTAATAGCTGTTCGAGTATATATGCAAAAATATGAATCATTTCTGATACACAGCGTTCTAAAGTTAGACCGCGCCACTCCGTTAAGAAGGTGATTACTTCCATCCAATTAAATAGAGCATGCACATTCACCATTTTTAAAACAACTTCTAAACACTGATACCGTATACATTTACCACAGACATTTGATAGCGCTACCTAGAGTACGACCGACGCGACTTGATTACTTTGAAGATTATTAACGTAAACTTGAGCTGAAGCATTATGATTAACGCTTCGTGTTTATTTTAATGTTATTATTTTGTTGTAGGTTTTGGCGCAACGGGCGTAATGGCATCAAAAAGCAGTTCAAAGTATCCTTCTTCTCCTCCTCCAAGGAGGTCCCTCTCCCCCGATCAACCCAACCCTGCGGAGCCAATCACCGAAGCACCAAGTCCTACGATGGGCAGGATAGGATGGGCGCTGAGGACCCTACTTTTATGTGAGTATACTTTACCAAATTTCATCCTTATCACATGCATTTCGTTCTCGCAATTGTACCAATTGGATGATGTGGGACATACATGACTGAAGCTGCAAAATTAATAAAAATATTCAATCATTGTCCTGGTGGGGTATAAATTATGCCATATTGTAGAGGAGGAAAAGTGGCAATGATAATGTACAATTTGTTTAAAAATCCCACTACAAATAAGATAAGGAAAAAATTCAAACGATTTCGTCTCTCTCCGGAAGCACTTTGAATTTCGAAACCTTCTAAGCAGCATTTTGTTGATTACTTAAATACGCAAATTTGCCCTCATTTGACCGACTCCGTATCACTTACCGTTTTCGAGATCCCAATGGTGAGGATCGAATTTGAAACACCCTGTTTATTATACAGAACAAAATAGAAGCGTAGCTTGTACTATAACCGTTATTCAACAAAAATAGAGAAGACCTGACTCCAGGAAATAGTTTTAACATATAACAACAAGCGATATCATGCAGTAACCAGGAATCCACGTCCCAAAATGTTCGAAAGAATCTGTACTACATAATGGCCAACGTTGGTTAACGTATTTTATCCGAAGACAGTCAACCTATTGCTATTTTCCTGGGTCAAGAAAATTATCCCATAATAAATGAGATGCCGTAACGTTATACAACGATCTGTCACAGCTGATTTCCTATTCACTATATACAATACTATCACTATATTAAGATTAGCTTATACAGGGTATTCATTTGAAAACTTCCCACCACAGATTTATCGAAAACCACTGATTAAAAGAAAAAACGCCTAGTCAAGTCAAAAGATTTGTCAAGGGGGACAACTTTTTTTTTGTCATTTTTTTGGATCATTTTAGAATAAATCCTAATACTTCATTACGAAAATTTTTTTGCTGCGACTGGTATTTCATTAGGCTCTGTACACACAGTTACTAAACTCCATAAATTTCATCCATTCAAAATTAAAATATTTCAAGAGTTAACCGAAGGTCATTTTGATAGGCGAATTCATGTAAATATACTAAGTGACATATAAATCCGAACACACAGTTTAAATGGTTTTATTTTAATAAAATTTTGTGTAAGTACTTAATGAAGCATAATAAGTAAATGATAAAAATTTCAAAATGATTGCACTGCTTTAAAGCCCTTTGACCTTTAACAATGTGTGGATGCACCCTGATGTGCTACGCATTCTCCAACGCGCCTAGGCATGCTTCTGATCAGGTGGTCAATGTCCTCCTGTGGTATCTCATTCCAGGCAACCACCAACTCCTCTCGAAGTGCTTCTAGAGTCTGAGGAGGACGTTGCAAATTGAGCAATCTCCTACCCATCATATCCCACACGTGCTCAATTGGGGATAAGTCGGGAGATCTTGGTGGCCATGGTAACAATAAGACATCATTATGTTGAAAGAAGTCTATTGTGACTCTTGCAACATGTGGTCGGGCATTATCTTGTTGGAAAGTTGGATCTGCCAGGGTGTCAAGATAGGGTAAAAGATGGGGTTCTAGAACTTCGTGGATATAGCGCTGCGCATTCATGTTACCTCTGATGAAGATTAAAGGTGACCTGGAACCATAAGCTATAGCACCCCAAACCATAACTCCAACAGTGTGATGAACATGTCTTTCAACAAAAAACTGTGGATTCCTCCTTTCACCACGTCGCCTTCTAACCCTGGCACGACCATCGTGCATGCCTAAACAAAATCGAGACTCGTCACTAAAGACAATACTGTTCCATTCCTGATCCCAGAGTGACCGTTGTCTGCACCACTCAAGGCGATTACGTCGGTGTTCTCGAGTTAAAGGGAGGACCCAGTGTGGCCGGTATGAAAACAAGCCAAAACTTCTCATTCGTCGGTAAACACTTCGCATGCCAGTAGGTCTTCCTTCTGCAAACCATTCATTTGCAATGGGCCTGGTAGTGGAGAAACGGTCGCTTAAGGCCAATAATCTTAGGCGGCGATCTTCACGGTCTGTTGTTCTACGGCGGCGTCCAGTGCCCCTTGCTCTTTGCGTACGGCCTTCTCGAAGCCATGCCTGACAACACCTAACCACAGTGTCTACACTTCTTTGCACTCTAACTGCAATTGCCCGAAAAGAAAGTCCAGCTTCCCGAAGTCCCACTATACGGCCCCTATCAAACTCACTAAGTTGACGAAATCGTACAGGTCTCCGTACTCTAGGCATCGTAACCGATCGTAAAGTATGTCAAGAACCAAAATCCGCCAACGTTGATTCTTTACTGCGGCTGAAATATTCATTTTTAGAGCGTTAGTGAATTAAAAAAAACAGTATAAAAACCGGAATGTCCAACTGATAAGGCTGAAAATTTTTTCACTTGTTATTTACAGTAAGGTAAATACATTCACCAACTTTTATTAAAATAAAACCATTTAAACTGGGTGTTCGGACTTATATGTCACTTAGTATAATATCTGCTTTAGTGATGAATGCACATTTTATTTAATTTGATTTGTTAATAAGCATAAGTACAGGTAGAGGAGCAATGAAATCCTAATGCTTTTGTAGAAGTGCATACCCAATATCCCTAAAAAATGGTGTGGGCAGACATTTTAGGAAACCATATGATTGGGCCATTGTTTATTAATGGAAATTTGAATGGAAACATTTATTTGGATTTGTTGGAAAATATCATCAATCTGCTTATAATTGAAACCATTGAAAACCGAATCGAAGAGGATGGAAACCCTATAGTTGATGAGGCTGAAATATATTTCCAGCAAGACGGCGCTCCTCCTCACTATGTTCTTCCGGTTTGGCAATGGCTAGACGACGAGTTTCCAGATAAATGGATAGGGCGAAGAGGGCTATAGGCCATTCTGTAAATGGCCTGCCAGGTCTTCTGATTTGACGCCATTATACTTTTTTATGGAGCTGTTTGAAATATATTGTGTTTTCTTCCCAGCCTGAAAGTTTGGATCAACTTCGTCAACGCATCATCGGAGGCTGCCATGATATCCCACAACATGCTTTTGAAAATGTCCTTTAGGAGTTGTTTGGCTAATAACGGGCAACATTTTGAACAATTATTGAAATAAAAAGTGATATTTTCGTGTGTTTGTTTTCTGTCTGAACAAATTAAGATAAAGATTTTTCTAATTTTCTTAAAAACAAATTAACCGATTTTGAAAAATTAAACGTCAAAATAAAGGACTTCGAAAGACCTTTCAAACAAGCTTTTACTCGATGCCCCTTGTCATTTAAAATTATTAAGGGGTGAAGTAGTTTTTGGTTAAAAAGTTGTCCCACTTGACAAATCTTTTGTCGTATCTCGGCGCTTTTTCTTTCAATCCGTGGTTTTTGATAAATCCGTAGTTTTCAAATGAACACCCTTGTATATACAGCGCCATCTAAGAGACACCGATTTTTTTTTAATTATATATAATGGCTGAAGTAACAGCTGTGACGAATTTTCATATGTGACGTTGCGATATCTCATTTTATCTCGGATAATTTCTTAGGTGCAGGTATATAGCATTAGGTTGACTATCTTCGGGTAGACCACTAACCATTGCAGAAAAAGGGTGTCATACATTAATTTTTGATTAGGTCAAGTCAAAACCGAATCAACACGTCTTCTAAACGACTGCATATCCTTTCCATATGAAAATTGTTTTCTCATATATTCCATTAAAATTAATTTTATATGTATAATGTTTCACACTTTCTCGCAGCACAAAATACGTGCCTGAAGGACCGCAAGGTTTCCGGTCGATTGGTAAGAAGATGTGCACCAGGGACTGAATTGGTCGACTGGCTGATAGGACTCTCTGCGAGCATTCACACGAGAGCCCAAGCTGCTGGGATGTGGCAAGCATTACTGGAAGAAGGCGTCATAGCACATGGTGAGTTGCTAACATGGAAAATACGTACTTGTTTCAAAATTGAACTCCTCTGTCTCTGCCATGTTCATCATGTATTGTACGAACATGTATCCATCTTGGGAGTAAGATTCATATATTAGATGATGGATGGTCTAGGCGACGGTTCGGTATACGTAAAAACGGTTAGTGGTTTATCATCATAGCAGTTGCATCAAAAAATTAACTTCGTCTTTAGAGATGAGATGGACAACAGCGAGACTACCGCATTCTTCTGCTTCTGTTCATCGTTATGATAATGACTCTAAATAAAGCCTTGCCTATGAAAGAAACATAATGGTGCCAAACTCATTCCCTATCAATTAATCCTCTTTCTTGTTTTCAAAAATGAGGAACAGTAAAGCAATCTGGAGTTCTCTTAGGAAACTTAATATAATTAAGTCCTCTATAAATACTCTTCCAGATAGTTTCAATGACGCAGATGAAATAAATTCACATTTCTCAAATATTCTGATCATAACCAAGACACAAAAGCAATTAGAACTACTGAACAAATATGCGAAGAGTTTCTCATTTATTAAAACTAATGCTGTAGGGGCTGATGGAATCTCACTCATTATGGTAAAATACATTTTCACTCTGCTATTAGACCATATTACATTTATCATCAATCACGCAATATCAACATCCTGTTTCCCTGATGCTTGGAAGCAGGCTATCGTCATACCTATTCCTAAAGTAGCGATTCCCACGTCTGTAACGCAACTTAGACCAGTCAGCTTACTTCCCGCATTTTCGAAGCTTTTGGAACGGGAAATGTAGATACAAATATCTCAGTATATTTTCAGTAATGAATTAGTTCCATCAATGCAGTCTGGATTCAGGGAAAACCATAGTACAACAACTGCTCTAGCCAATGTCACTGATGATGTTATAAGAGGCTTTGATCAAAGAAATATTACTTGTTTAGTTCTGCTGGATTACCCAAAAGCTTTCGATATGATAGACCCTGAAATTCTGCTACTTAAGCTATCTTACTATGTTTTTACTGACGCTGCAGTCAATTTGATAAGCTGCTATTTGTCAAATAGAAATCAAAAGGTCCTAACAGCTTCAAAAATGTCACAGTCAACCGCTATAAATTTTGGTAGTCCCCAAGGTTCCATATTGGGACCTTTACTTTTCTCTATATATATCGGATTTTCATCAATATGTCCATAATTGCACAATCCATCACTATGCCGATGATACTCAAATTTATTTTAGTTTTCAACACAAAGATTTTAAAATAGCAGAAGCATTGCTCAACGAAGACTTAACAAGGCTAGTAGACGTCTCGTGCTCGCATAACCTAAAAATTAATCCATCTAAATCTTCAGTTATGGTTTTCGTCTCAAAAAACAAAAGCACATTGATCGAACCGGAAATTAACCTTAAAATCCATGATTGCCGGCTTCCTATAATGAATGAGTGTAAAAACCTGGGACTCTGGATTGACACAGAACTAAAATACAAGAAACACGTAAATTCGTTATGTAGTGCATCATACTGCATTGCGGAATAAGAAAGTTTGATCATATTTCTTATAAATTTAAGTAACTCGGTATTCTGCAGATTAAAGGCATGCAAATACTTCACTTATTGACACTCACACATAAGGTCTTAGCTACCAAACAACCACAATATTTGCATAATAAGTTAACACGATGTAGTGACATCAATCAACTGAATACAACGAATAAAAAAAAGTTAGTGATACCCTTACATTCTTAAGGCTGTCTACAAAAAATCATTCAGCTACAACGCTATTAAATTATATAATGATCTGCCTATTACATTCCAAAACTATACATTATTTAATTTTGAAAAGAGGCTTAAACTAAAACTACAAGTCAAGGTCTGATGATGAGTACAAAATGCTAGAAATATAGAGTATTCTTGTAATTGTTCTGTTTTTTTTTTGTGTTGTTAATTATTTAGTAATTGTTGAGAATTATGGATACATTTTTGTTGGTGGAATGTTTTATTATATATTTTTTTGTTGTTGAAAAAACGCTAATCTTAGCGACACTTCGCCTTTTTTGTACTTTTACTTGGGTACGAAATAAAGCCCATTTATTATTATTATTATTATAGCTCTCAGGGATTTAATCTTTGAAATGACGAAATAGAATAACTCACATTACGCACTTTGTTCTCTTCCCTTTCTGGGAACTGTATTCCTGAACACTGGTAGAAAAGTCGCTCCCCGAGTTATCACCGCGAGAAGAAGTGTGGAAGTTCGCCGTCATCAATCAGGTGCTTCTTTAAAAACGTTATGAAACGTTTAATGATGTGAAGAACCTAGGTACATATCTTATCAAAAATGGATCTTGATTGACAATTTCAAGAGTTGTCCAACTTTGGGGTCATTCTCCATGGAAAGAGAACAACGCCCACCTTCTCTCTCAGACAAGTTCATGAATGTGTCCTTTTTGAGCAAAGTAATTCCACATCATAAAATGCTAACGGCAAAAGTAATGTTAGCTTCAATAAGAAGCGTCCTGAGGCCCATTGGGTTTCGATGGATGGCCGAGACTACCAAACAGCCACTCACTTCGTCTAGTCGGAGTCCAGATCATCGAGGTCTTGATCTGGCACGAACGCATCTCGTGAACAGCAGCAACCTGCTGGTAAAAAGCTAGGGGCTTATAGCTTAGGACTAAAAAGCAGTAGTAGTAGTAAGTAAGTAGCAAGTAATATTCATTCACCTAAAATGCAAAAACTATCAACATTGAAGAAAAGTTCATGAGAATCGGTCTTGTTCAGAATGACCCAAACAACTTTTCTAGAGCGAAAAACGAATTTTAGGAATTTTGTGTAAAAATTGTTCAAACAATTATTCTTAACGTACTTTTGAGCCTGACAACAAGCAGATTTGCAAAAAGAGGTTTTTTAAGATTACGTAATGAAACCGGATCGGAATATTTTTCCGAGCAGATGCGGAGATACTTCCCGGACTAGTAACCCTTTTCCGGGCACAAAATACGGAATCACCCCTAGAGCCGCTTCTGTTTATAGCATGTTCTCCCTCTTATTGCACCGTCATGTCCAGTTAAACGCTATTCACAGTCACCTCGGGAGCTCATTTCGCCCTATATTTTCAGCTCAATTGCACACAATTTTTGCTATTTTATGAGATGCACGACGTGAACAAAAATTAAATGAGAAGGAAGGACGTGCTAGATTTATAGCTGATGGAGGTATACTTATCCGACATATAGTGAACTCATTTATATTTGTTATACAATGAAGTCTTGAACATATTTTTCTAATTTATCCTATCGAATGAAATTAAGAATGAATCTGGTAATCTCATTCATAAAATTGAACGAATTAGTTAAGGTTTTGTGAATTATTTTACCAAAATTGGCAATGATTCATGTAAAAAGTCAAAAGAAAATTTGGATAACACTGCAAAATTTCCTAAAAGACAAATATAAAGTTTTATTTATCTGGAAGACGTTCCTGAAGCTGAATTGATCCAAGTAATACAATCTAGCAGAAGCATTTTGTTTTATAGTAAATTGGATGTTCCGTGGTGAGTACCTTCCTACGATGTTAAAATAATCCGTCATTAAACCAATTCGTAAGTCGGGAGATGAAACACTCATGTCAAATTATTGTCCAGTTTCCCTAAAATATCTCATTGCAAAAATTGTGGAAAAAATAATTATAATTAGAATCAACAAATTACTTGATAAAAACTACAACCACTATCCAATCAGCAATTTGGATTTCGGAAGAATATATCAACACAGGTAGTCTCATCAGAAATTAGTTAATGGATCGATAGGACTACGGGGGTATTTCTAATTCTAAAAAAGGCGCTTAACACAGTTGATCATTCTAAATTACTTGATACTATGTAGCGTATAGGGATAAGAGGGCCATTAGGACCATTGTTACTCAATATATACTTGAATAATTTGTACGATATCCAAACAACTGAAAAAAAGTTTTGCCGACAATACCATCATTCTCTACAGTGCAGAAAACTGAAGTCAACAAAAAAGTTTGTGAAAATAAACTCAATACTATAATAGTTGGTTTAAATCTCGTGTTTTAACAGTAAATTATAATAAAACCCACTTTATGCCATTTTCATCTTATCCCAAAAATTTGCCTGACTACCGAACATTAAATTGTAGCGATCATAGAAACAAACTAACCACAGATTCTGCCTTTCGGTACTTTGGACCACTGTGTGACATTCCAATTGTCGTATTATCTCCAGATCCACTAAAATCTCAAATACCTAAATTGTCTTCAGGTTTCAAACAACAAACAGTAAGCTTTGAAAGTGATGTGGATTACTTTGTAACCTGGACTAATATCAACTGTATTATTTTCCAAAGTTGCTTTTACACAGTGTATCATGCTATATGTATATAGACAGGGTAGTCCGAATACAAATGAAACATCTACTTTGTCTATTGAAATAGCAAAAGTAACGCTGGGTTGACTTTTCCCCTTAATTGGTGTCAGGTATAAAATGGTAAACAGCTACCGATATATATTTTCAAAGTAGCTATTCCATACAAACAGTGTATCATGCAAACAACCAGATATAATTAAATTTCCGATGGTAGCCATAACGCATAAAAATGAGTTACGGAACGCAACTCTATATTCACGTGCACTTTAACGTGTAGTTGCCTGCCATGATAAAAGAGTGTCAGCAGTTTATGTTTTGTTGTAAAATTTTATAGCTGCTTTTTTCATACAGCGTATGAGTCACGAATTAAAGCTAAAGGTAACTCCTACACTGTCAATATTAGTAGGTCGATACTGAATACTTTGTCAGTATTTTTATCATTTACAGATTCTTATACTTGAATTACCGCCCAGAAATATGTTAAGCAAGTATCATCAATCGATCAGACAGCTCTCCTATAATCAATATCAAGTAAGGATAGTGCAGTCATGTGAACAATAACCTAAGCCTGTACATTTCATTGGTTTTTTTATTTCGTATGTTTTTC